CGGGATATTCAGGGCACAGACCGTGATCATAAGGTAGCGCGAATAGAAAATAGAATTTAGAAAATAGACATTCCATGTGAACGAAGCCCTAGTCTACCATAAGTCAAAACTCTATCAAAATTGGTTAAAGCATGCAAAATGAATGTAACCAAATCCCCATATACTCATACAGATAATAAAATAATAAAGGTAACAACTGAGCATGACCACATTGGCTTAAATTTGGCTGTGATATTCTGCTAAGTTTTCTTCTTGTCAACAATTGTCATGTTGTTAAACTTGCTGATCAAAATAGAGTTTTTCAACATAACATTGTAAGAGCTTCTGCGCTCTTCATCATAGAAATTCTTCTTTTATATTTTTTTTGCCTTTCTATCAGTCTAACTATATACAGCTGCAAACTTGGCATTTGTTTAATCACAGCATCTTTTGATAGTTGAGCAATGCTTCATTATCACATTAGTTACTGTACATGCATTACATGCCCTAAGTAAGGATGGTTTTGTATAGTCTTCGTGCATTGAGCATACACATGGAAAATAATTCTGTCCCATGGTTGCCAGATGTTGGAGAATCACATTTATTCCTCATTGGTGTAAAAAGTCATTGGTATTTATTTTCTTTATTCTTATCATTCTCCTTTACACATGCCACAATGCATGGGCATTTACTATAAGGCCACATTCACCACTGACTTAAATATGGCAACCCCCTTAAAAGCTTGTCATCTAATCCCCCAATAGACTCTCAATAAATTCCCCACTGGGGTTATGCAACAAGTATTCAATTAAGTCAGCCCTATTTGATCCATGGTTGTGAATGTGGCCTAAGAGCATCACCCGCTCTTCTGCTGTACCCATGGTGGTATACTGAAGGTACTGTGTATGGGCTTTTAGACACCAAATGTAGTTTTTCTTGATAAAATAGTAATTTTCTCCCACTGCTAAATCATTGCACAAACCTTTACTTAGAATTAGATTCAGTCTTTTGGTCTATATCTTACCAGGAAACTTAGTTCTAAATGAATCATGGATTATTTAGACTGCCATGTTTCTTGACATTTTGAAGAAAATATCAACATCAAGTACTTTTTTGTAGGGCATTTATCATTTTACAGCTCTGAATATATGGATGACTTGTTTTGTTAAGCCCATTCTGATTAACTGAGTACTAGTAGGTGAACAATGAGATTTGTGGAATTAAGTTAATCTGTTTAGCAGGTTAATTTGTGACCATAATTTTAATTCTCAATCAGCACAATATCGGTTTAGTCATCAGAGAGAAGCAGGGATAGTCATTTAAGAAAATTAAATTCACACAGATTTCTCTTCATTGGTTTAAATATATGTATATATTCAAATAGAACAGGGTTAATCTCACTCTGTAAATATCTACTTATCACTCAGTAAGAATACACAGCTGAGTTGCGAATGCATTTTTAATATTAAATATAAAACCAAACAGCCTAACACAAACATAAGAATTGGTCATTAGCAAATACTGCTAATAAAGCTATGTGCTGAACAAACTGGTATTATTTCTGCTCTGAAAGCATTTATAAATACATGTAGATAAGTACACAATTTTACACATTCCAAGTTACCGCTATATGCTGGCTGTATATTTAATTATAAAATGTATTCCGTTTTGTATGCATGCATACACATATTATCTCATATTGTTATTCTTATGCACTAGGATAATATACAGTTTATGCTAACTAGATATGTAGGTCATAATTTTGTTGCAAATTAGTATGTACTTATACATATTTCACAAAATGTATCTGGACATATCATTTGCAATCCATCTTAGTTTGGAAAGAAATCTGGCATAATAATATACATCAAGTTTTTTAACAAGTTTTTTTAAAATGCTTATTTGGTCTACATATATATATGTCGATCAGCGGCTGTTTATAATTATAACGTGTCACAATATTTTTTTTCATAGGCACCGCATAGAGAATACCCATTGACTATTCATGTGATATGAATCATGGATGAGGAGGTGTCTCTTCATCTCCACTATAAACTAGAATATGTTCTCAATACTGTGGTTTCTGTTATCTGCTACTGTAGTGTGGTAAACTCTGTCATTTATATTTATTGCAGTCATCATCTGCTGTAGTGAGGACAGGCAGGTACAGCTTGCAGCGTGGCAAGATCGGGCTGTTAGATGGAGCCATTTGAGTTACGGTTTCACCAGGTTAATTTTGAGGCAGAAGATATTCCACAGAACCAGACCCTTGACTCCTTCAGCAATGTGGTCTCTTATCAATATGATGAGCTCTTGAGCAGTGCTAATGGCACAGCAGTGAATCAGTCAAATGTACAGGAGGATCAAGGTAAAGTTCCAGATGTGCATTGGTAATGCATTAATAGCATCCTCTCTCTGCTGTCAGAGTCCCATACTAGTAAAAAGATCTGAGTACATTAAGCCAGTGTGAGATATGAACTTATTTCATTAAAATTTTATTTTGGGGTATATAGGAGCACATTCAGAACAAGTTGATCTGCAGATTTTCAGTTCAAATATGGCTGACCCACCTAAAAGCAATGCTGACTAAACCCCTGATAGTCTCCCCGCATGTCTCCACATGTGCCATCCCTGCAGAGGCCTTGCAATTAGACCTGGAGGCTGAGATTCAAACCATTTCATGGCGCAAGTGGATGCGGGGAGACCATCAGAAGAAAAGGCGGCTTGCTTTTGAGTGGGATCAGCCATATTTAGTCCCCAGATCAGTTAGTCTGCTGGTCATCTGTTCTGAATGTGACCTCAATTTTGTTGTGTGGTATTCAAGTAATATCGTTTTGTACATAAAATGTTTAACGTATTTTGGAATATAAGTAATATGTAAACCTTGCTTTTTATAAATATTTCATACCTTCTCCTTTGGTTCTTTTTGGAATTTCTGTGGCATTTCCTGCTGATATTTTCAAAAGTATCTTGGTACTGAGATTTTTTTTATCTTGAACACTATCAAAGGGTTAATGCATACAAATGAAATTTTGTTACTCTTTCAGGAATTTTACTACTCTTCCAGCATTAAGAAAATTAATGCATTTTTCTACAAATTCCAAGTTGATGCTTGCATATCTTTTCCATATCCTTGCTTTATCTTGGGTGTAGATGGTCTCTCTATTTCTAGGGCAATGGGCTCCTCTTGTTTCTGCTTATAATGCTGATACTGTGCTGCCCTCTAGAGTTCACAGTGGGCAAATTGTTGAAACCAAAGTTGTGGATGTACATTTAGAGAACAATGTCCATTTCAATCACCTAGGTAGCTCAAGATCACATTCCAGAAGTTCACCAATACACAGGACAATAAAGATAGAAGAAGGTTAGTGGAAGGTGCTTGTTAATATAACTTGCAGGAAATATTAAATAATTTTTCTTAGTTTGATTATTATTTTTATGATTAATATTTTTTTGTGTTGTATTTGACAATTTACTCCCATCATTTAGATATAAACTTCTTCCTAAAATCACCTTTCTCAATGCTCTATACTCTGCTGGATAGGATATCTTGATATACACAGTTAGTTTGCAGTTTTCTCTCTTTAAAAATCTCATTTAAGATGTTATAATGAACAAACCACTGAAGCTTGTGTAGTCACCCAGTACAGCTGGTGGAAGTTTTAAAGGATTGATTTGTTTTTTTCATGAGATTTTGAAATTGTGACCTCTGAAGAGTGGTTTTAATCCCTTGGTCACTGTTTAAAGCTATAATGAGTGTCATTGCAATGATTTCAGTGGTTTAATCAGCTAACACAGCAATAAGTGTTATTCAAAAATGTTAATATCCTCTCTTTTAACACTTCACACTGAACAGTGTGCATATTGTGTTTGTTTTGGTGTTACAGTAGCCACTAACTTTCACTCTGCCAGTAGACCTAGCGTAGAGGGTGCTGACGAGACATCTGAACCAGAGCTTGTTGAAGAGGCTCTCCCTGGCGTGTTCTCTACTTGCTCCTACCACTCAACACTTCACAATGACATAATTCACAATTCCAGTTCATCAGACACAACAGAAAGGAACGGGACTGCAGCTGTAAGTGGATGCTGCATGGTGTATCACAGAGTGGTGGAAACGGCAACTGTCATCTCGATTTTTAAGGACACACACTCAGCGTTTTACTTTTATTTAGCAAAAGTTAAATTTTCCTGTAATGCCAACTCTTTACCCTTCAAAGGATTCTGTACATGTTTGAAGACATTTTCCAAGGCCAAATTTGTGTCTAAATATCATGCAAAGCCTCTTATCTTATTCACACCAGACCTTGAAAGTGATACAACCCCTCGAAAATGGCTTTTTTTTGTTTTGGATTCCATTGTTGGTTTGTTCTAGTTTTAATGCTGTATTATAGCTTGTGTTTTTTAATGCTTGTTTTTGCTTGTCATTAGCTTTAATGAAGTGTCCAGAGCGTATTAACAAGTTTTTAGAATTTGTTTTTGCAATTAAAATTTACTGTAGATTCATTTTGGAATTCTTTCTTATAACAGACATAATACAATATTGATGCATATGCAGTGTACTTTGATATGTCACAAGACACTTAAGTTCACATCTCTTCAATTTTTGGTGAAGTTAAGTTGCTTCAGGAAATAGCATGGTTAATGACATGAAGTTTCACTTATGGTTTGTGTTATTGCCTGGATAACAAGTTGAGCTGGATAACAAGTTGAACCATATATGTGTCCATGGCACTGTGACATGATGTATGAAAAAGCTAACATCTTCACATCTTTTTTGTAAACCATTCCTTTGCAGATAATGGAACACAACGAAAGCTTTACAAGGACCAGTTCCTCAGATAGTTTTACTGCATTCACCAACACAGTGGATGCCCTGGCATTGCAAAAGTCAGTTATAGGTAAAGAATTACAGACATCTTTTTCAACATGAAAAAATAAAGGAAGAGACTGTTTTCTGACATCCTATTTTCCTGGAATACTTACGATACCTTCTTGCAGCTGACAATAATTTAACTTTGTCAAAAACTTAGCATTTATGATGTTTGTGGTATTTTTTGTGTATTTTCTGTTT